TTTATATTTTATTCATAAGACAATTTAGGTTTGATTAATTGATTTTAAAGCTCTGGGCGACTGAGCTCTTATTAATAATTTTGACTTTCAGTTAGATTTTTGGACATTTCCTAGCCCCATCTCTATGGAATAATAAGATATAAGTGACAAGACATTCGGATAATTGTAAAGTTTTGTAGCTGTAGAGAAATTTCAATATTTTAAGCATTTAGATAGAGCTCTTGCTTCTTTGCAGCTGTGTGATCCTAGAGAATGATGTGACAATTGGTGTACACACCTTCAGCCCCAAAGATACTGTAGTTCAGTTGGGAGGTGTTCATTCTCTGTATTTGCCTCTCAAATTTCACTATAGTTCCTTGAGCTGCCAGAATAGAATAAACTGATAATTTAACATGTGATTATATGTAAAGTGTACTATAATATTTAATTTTCCAAACTTATAAGTAGGCGCTAAAGCAAACAGGAACCAACAGTGACAGCAGTCAGCCATCTGGAACATCCTTTTCTAATAAACAACTCATTCCAGCAATAGTTTCTTAAACATGCAGTATATGTTCTATTTTAGGAAAATTTAGACAGATTTTAAAAAGCATAACTAAAGTAAGTTTGCTTAGATTTGTACAGTATGATTGTATCTCATGTTTGCGTGATTGTGAATTTGCAGCAGTATGTGGACTGTTTTAAAAAAAAATTCATATACTACTGCAATATTTTTTTTTTACTGAATGAATTTGTGAAAATGTGTATGTGTGTGTACATATTGTACCAAATACTTTTATTAAATGTAATATAGAGCACATGTACTGTTCTCTAAGACGTAGGAAGGAAGAATGGAAAAGGTGGAGTGTTAAAATTTCTGCCAAAAGTAACTGTAAAAAGAAATTCTTGCAGTTGTTCAAATCAAACTTACTAATAATTTGAGTCTCATTTATTCTTTGAGGCATTGCAGTATTTCTTTACATGCTTGTCCTTCAAATTTTATTTCATTAGATATGAAAAAACAATGATCAAAGCATAGTGACTTTTTCCCAACTTTTGAAATAGAGTCTTCTCAGCAGCAGCAGATGTGTTATTATGGCGAATTTATGCATAGTGCATAATGTATTCAGTAGTGCAGGAAAGTGTTGAATGATTAATTTAACTTCAACTTAACTGCCAAGCCTGTTTTCCTCAAAATGAAAGATGTTGTATATTAATGGCTAAAAGATAAATGATAACAGTATATGGAGAAGAGGGGAAAGGTAGCCTAAACTCAGTGGATCAAAATAATGGTGACTCAATGTGAAATTGGCCTCTCATTTCCTGTTGGTAAGAAGATCGTTAAAAAAAAAAAGTAGGTGGGTAGTTCTAAGATGATTATGATTAGTTACCCACCTACATTATATTAGTGAAAAGTACATCTTTTGATGTCAAGTGTTGCTGAAGTTTTAAGAACACAGCATTAGTCAACAAGTCTAAACACGTATTGCTCCCAGTTGCCAAATCTTCCCGAACCACCAGATTCAAAGATTCTTATATAACAGTTCATGTCATGTTGCATGTGACTATAAGACTACTGGTGTATTAAAAATGTTTTACTGTAGTGTGAAAAAATTATGACCTTGAATGAAACTCTCATAAGATGAAGTAAAAGAAAGGAGATGTTTTTATTAAATCTGAAATCGGAAGTGTTGCTTTGTTTTGCAACTTTGCTGAATCAAAGACGCAATCAGCCATTTTAAAAATTAGTGAAAACGATAAATGGTCGACAAATTTACTACTGTTTTCCAAATTAACTAGATTTATTGATGGTGATCGCTTTAGTCAGATAAATCAGATATAGAGAAATAGGATACCCAAATATATAAACTGACATGCATAAATGATTTGCTCTCCAGATTTGGTTTTTCCACAGTTCTAATGAATAAACCTCTTAGTGATGAAATGTTGCTCAGTCTTTATTGAGTTTTATTTAAGGGTTTAGTGGGGCAATTGAATAATCAGATTGGTGTCATCATGAGTAACCATGAGCAGATACCAAGTCAGTATTCACTGTGTGGGGTAAAAAGGTGTTTATTTGCTCTTCCGCACTACTGCATCTTCTCACAAGCATAACTTCTTGAAGGCATGGCAAAGCAGGGTTTCTAGTCTACATCCTTGTTAAATTCCTGGGAATAAAACACAGAAGAAGGCAAATGATTACCTGCTTTGTATTTTTAATTGATTCCACATGCATGACTATTGTTAAAGTTGTCTACACACCCTTGTTGAAAAGTGTAATAGTATATTTTTCTTGGATTTTTATTAATATCAGTGTATTTTCTATGTTCTGGAAAATGCTCTTATAGTTGTTAGCTTTTGAAGCAACATGAAAATTTATTTATGAATGAAACACTTATTTTTAATTGGATTTGTTTGTCTAATGTTATAATTCTGCTTCATTGAGTCTATTTTTATGCTCTCACAATATTCTCATTATTGTTCTGAAGTTTGAGAAAGGAAAGGTAGATTTCACAAAGCATCAGTTACCGAGAAGAAAAAAAATTAAATGGGTCTATTGATGGAATAAATGTAGGGCAGTTGATAATAAGGCTTTGGAAATCATATGGTGTGAATATTTTGAGAACAAAATTTTCAACCTCATATTTAGCAACAGGGAAGCTCTGTGAGTGGGAAAGAAACGCCATTTTATTTCAAGTATTTTCTGTGATAATTTTCATTTTGTAGAGGCTCTCTGATCAAACCTTATAGTTATCAATCCCAACATTTTAAACATGACTGCATCATGACAAAGACTGATTGGAGTCTGAAAAAGGATTAACTTCCTCTGATTTATTCTGAGGAAAATGTTTGCGTCAGATTCTATTTGAGCATACGGGCATAACAGCATTAATTTGATTGTAAAGAATTTGGCTGATCAGGCAATATCAGTAGACCGAATTGCATGGTTCCTCTAATTGTGGAATGTACACTCCTTATCTCAAATTTCCATGACACCAAGATGGCTAGCTTTGAGCATCAGCTGTTACCCCAACCTTTCAAACACAAAGAAAGATTACTGACAACACATTATATGTGTAGAACTGGAATATACGCCTTGACGTTGTAAAGTTTACTTGCGAAAAATATCTTACAGGTTTCGAGTCCCTGCTAACGAGTTGCAGGCTGGACAAGAGTGTCCAATTCCAATCATTATGTAATTGCCAATGATTGAACAATTAGCATTTGAAACTGCTAGGCTAAATTGTGCCTTAAAAACTCCTCTTTTTCTTTAGTATTCTTTTTAAAATTTTGATTATGATTGTGTAAAATATAGAATCTTTTATGAGAATGCGAAGAACCTGAGGCAAAAACTACAAACATTGCTAAAGAGCTGGGTTTGGTGTCGTGTTTGGCCCTCGTCATGTGTTAATGTTTGCAGACAAGAGCTGCTCCAACCTACTGGTGTGAGAGACTTTGTTCTTCTGCAAAACATTTTTTACCCTTCTTTAACACTTGAGCTCAAAAAAAATGTACTAAATAATGTTCCTTTCTGTGAGTATTGCTCTTCTAATATATATTTACTGTCTAATTAAAATCTCATGAACTATTGTACTGGTTGGTAACTACCAAAACATATATTCTGCACTGAAAATACAACAGTTCCTTATCACCAACTCGCTAGATGGAGCAATCTCATACAAGACAACCATTCTTTAGAGGTCAATACCATCTCACATTTCATGTAAAATATTCTGTTGCAGATAAGCTGTCACAAAATAATAGGAGAGAAAACATTTTAAATAATCTTTGAGTGTCAAGGATTGTACCACATGTGTTCTATGTTGACTTTAGAATAGTATGAGATTTAAAATCTTCCATGCATAGCAAATGTCTTTAGTGACTTTAAATTTACCATTAACATACCTAAAGTCCAGTTAACCATTGACGAAATTGAGCTACCAATCAGCAAGTCCATTTTCAAACAGGAGACTGGTTACTTCCCTGAATAGGTTGTCTTGTGCGTAATTTCGATGTTTTATGTACCCGACTAACTTTTATACAAACATTCTTATTGATAAATTGGTCTCGCTCCTCATTCTAAAAATTTGCTATATAAAGATTGATTGTCTTTTGTTTTTTCTTGTAACTTTGATTCCTCAACAATGCGTCCAGTTGTTCATACAGTTAACTTAACTTTCGTGTAGTATTTCCGTGAGCACTTTACTAGTGTCTGTTTGATTAACTTGCACTAGGTTCTGAGCATGACGAATATTAGGGATGTAGCTATAGAATTACTTTGGTTAAAAAGTCAACGTCTTTGCTAAAAACGAAACTCACGAAAGGTAATTGAGAAATTCGACAAGCGGAAAGCACTGTTTTTAAGTAATGTTGATGTAGTCTTGTCATCAGATCCATTTGTAATTAGAAAATGTACAGTAATCAAAATACAGATTTACTACTCTACTCATAAAATACGAACATAAAAGTTTAAGAAAAATAATTCAATTTCTGAGAAAAGGCTAATTGTCTTTACCGGGTGGACAAAACTTCTGATTTCTTTTCTTTTTTCATATTCCATGGGTTTCTTCATATTTCTTCCTCTTTCCTAACTGATGTAACTTCTAAAGTGTTACTTTACTGTAGCAAATATGTGAGTTATAAGGTGTTTTTGTTGCATATGAGAGCTTGTTGTGAAAAAGTTGTGGTAGAGAACTTAACTGGATCATGCCTCTTGTGTTTGAGGTAAAAAGAAATATTAAAAGTTGTGCCTCAGGGTTTCATAGCTCACATTTGCCAGTTTCAGAATCTTCTGGGTCAATTCATCTGCAGATGTGTT